TGGGGTCGGGTCGCCGGGGTAGCAGCTTAAGTAGGGAGGCCCAGACTTCCCTCTCCCCAGCCACTTGGGCAAGCTCCTCCGGGGGAATCCCGAGGCATATCCAGGCCAGCCGAGAAACATAGTCCCTCCAGCGTGTCCTGGGTCTTCCTCTGGGCCTCCTCCCGGTGGGACGTGTCCGGAACACCTCACCAGGGAGGTGTCCAGGAGGCATCCTAACCAGATGCATGAGCCACCTCAACTGATTCCTCTTGACGTGGAGAAGCAACGGTTCTACTCTGAGTCCCTCCCGGATGATCGAGCTTCTCACCCTATCTCTAAGGGAGAGCCCAGACACCCTGCGGAGAAAATTCATTTTGGCCGCTTGTATCCGAGATCTCGTTCTTTTGGTCACAACCCAAAGCTCATGACCATAGATTCGCCTATCCGCCTACCGATCTCACATTCCATTTTTCCCTCATTCGTGAACAAGACCTCAAGATACTTGAACTCCTCCACTTGGGGCAGGACATACTCCCTGACCCGGAGAAGGCAATCTACCCTTTTCCGGCTCAAGACCTTGACCTCGGATATGGAGGAACTGATACTCATCCCGGCCGTGTCGCACTCGGCTGCGAACCGCTCCAGTGAAAGCTGTAGATCACGATCTGATGAAGCCAACAGGACCACATCATCTGCAAAAAGCAGAGACACAATCCTAAGGTCACCAAAACGGATCCCCAAACACCTTGGCTGCACCTAGAAATTCTGTCCATAAAAGTTATGAACAGAATCGTGACAAAGGGCAACCTTGGCTGAGTCCAACTCTCACCAGGACCAAGCCCGACTTACTGCCGGCAATGCAGACCAGGCTCTGACACCGGTCATACAGGGACCTAACAGCTATCAAAGGGCCTGGTACCCCATACTCCCAGAGTATCCCCCACAGGGTTCCCCGAGGGACGCGGTCGAACGCCTTCTCCATGTCCACAAAGCACATGTAGACTGGTTGGGCAAACTCCCACGCACCCTCCAGGACCCTGCTGAGAGTGTAGAGCTGGACCAGTGTTCCACGACCAGGACAAAAACTGCACTGCTCCTCCTGAATCCGAGGTTCGACTATTCGATGGACCCTCCTCTCCAGAACCCCCAAATAGACCTTACCAGGGAGGCTTAAGAATGTGATCCCCCTGTAGTTGGAACACACTCTACAGTCCCCCTTTATGAATAGGGGGACTGCCACCCCGGTCTGCCAATCCAGGGGAACTTCCCCCAATGTCCACACAATATTGCAGAGTCGCATAAGCCAACACAACCCTACAACATCCAGAACCTTAAGAAACTCTGGGCGAATCTCATCCACCCCTGGGGCCTTGCCACCGAGGAGCTTTTTAACCACCTCAGTGACCTCAGCACCAGAGATTAGAGGGCCCGACCCAGAGTCCCCAGGCTCCACTTCCTCAGTGTAAGACGTGCCGGTGGGATTGAAGAGGTCTTCAAAGTATTCTGCCCACCGACCCACGACATCCCGAGTTGAGGTCAGCAGCACACCACCCCTACTATAGACAGTGTTGGTGGTGTAACCCCCCCCCCCCCCCCCCCCCCCCGGGACGCCGGATGGTAGACCAGAATCGCCTCGAAGCCGTGCGGAAGTCATTCTCCATGGCCTCTCCGAACTCCTCCCATACCCGAGCTTTTGCCTCAGCGACCATCCGAGCCGCATGTCGCTTGGACTGCCGGTACCCATCAGCTGCTTCCAGGGTCCTACAGGCTAAAAAGGCACGATAGGACTCCTTCTTCAGCCTGACAGCATCCCTCATCAACGGTGTCCACCACCGGATTCGAGGGTTGCCGCCGCAACAGGCACCGACAACCTTGCAGCCGCAGCTCCGGTAAGCCGCCTCGACAATATAATATAATATATAAGTATTTATATATAATTAAACTACTACTTACTACTTGTCCTACTATTCCTACTTGGCGGTTTTTCACTTATTGAGGGTCTTCAGTGTACGGATCCCCCGCGATAAACGGGGGACTACTGTAAGGTGTTTTTTTTTTACAGATCGGTTTCTACCTTCAGTTCTACTTTGCC